TCGGGGTGTTGTCCGTCCTCCTGCTGTGTTTTTTGGCTCTGAAATTATCTCGAGAGCCGAGATGGAAAAGCTCCAGAAGGCTGAATTGTATACTTTCAAGACTGCTTCGTTAGTGAAACCATATTCCTTGTTGCTTGAAAAACACGCCGAAACTATTGAGGAGCTTGGCGAGCTCCGGATGAGGCATAGCCAGGCTGTTCTTGACAATGAGAATTTAACCAACAACATTGTTGAATTGAATACTTCTTTGGAGAACTCACAGGCAAACCTGAAGTTTATTTTTGACGCCTTTAATGTGATTGCTGATAAAGATAGCATTGTAAATCATTTCAAAAAACAAGCAGACGCTCTGAAAGAGAAGGATTCAAAGGTTGCAGGTTTGTTTGCGGAGAATGACAAATTGAAGTCGGATCTTCAGAATTTGCAAACTGCTTATGATTTTAACCGATCTGCTCTTGAAAAGGCCACCATAAGTGCCTTTAAAAATGGTGTTAACCAGGTAAGAAATTTTAATCCCGAATTTCCCTTGAAGCTCGACCAGCTGGACTGCTTTGGTTATATTCATGGTGGGGTTTATATCCCTCTTCCTTCAACTAATCAGAACATGCCAGAAAATAGCACCTCTCAAGTTGGGATCACTTCGGGGATAGAGGCCGCTGGGATCACTTCGGGGATAGAGGCAGCTGGCATCGAGTTTGAGGCCGAGATGCGGGAAATAATGCATAATGATGGTCCAGAGAGAAGAGCTGGAATGCTGGTTTACTTTGTAATTTGTTGCTTTTTTGCTTTCAGATTACTTTAAGAATCTTTTCCTGCTTTTAGACTTCTTTAACTGTTAATGGGAATTTGGCTTTATGCCCTTGTTGATGTACTCTGGTATTTGTTGTTTGACTAGCTTCTTTTTGTAAGGATGTTAGGGAATTAAGGGCGTCCCCCTAATTTCCTGCCTTAACTTGCTAGGTTAGCACGCCTCCCTTGCTCATTTTGGCAAGGTTGGTTGCAATGCTTTCGTTTTGACATATACGCGTGGTTTGCCCTTAGGCTAGACGAGTCCAAATTCCCGACGTTAATTGTCGGGCTAGAATTCCAATCTTGCCCTTAGGCAGGAGGGTTCGAACACCTCAACGTTATTGATCGGGCTAGAACTCAGTCTTGCCCGTAGGCAAGAGGGTTCAAATACCTCGACGTTATTGTCCGAGCTAGAACTCCAATCTCGCCCTTAGGCAATAGGGTTCAAATACCTCGACGTTATTGGCCGGGCTAGAACTCCAATCTTTCCCTTAGGCAAGAGGGTTCAAATACCTCGACGTTATTGGCCGGGCTAGAATTCCAATCTTGCCCTTAAGCAGGAGGGTTCAAATACCTCGACGTTATTGGCCAGGCTAGAACTCCAATCTTGCCCTTAGGCAAGAAGGTTCAAATACCTCGACGTTATTGGCCGGGCTAGAACTCCATTCTTGCCCTTAGGCAAAAGGGTTCAAATACCTCGACGTTAATCTCGAAAATAAACTTCTGAAAAATATACTTGATTTATTCAATTTATTGAACTTGAAATTTGAACTACAATTTATGAGTGAGAACTTTTCAACTAAAATATTTCTTCAATTTGTCCGCATTCCAAGTCCTTTTGACTTGCTTCCCCTGTGGGGTTTCCAACACATAAGCTTTTTTTGATAATTTTGCTTTAATTTTGTATGGTCCTTCCCATCTTGGAGCCAATTTTCCTTAAGTTGCGTTTCGTCCTCCGATATCTGCCTTTCGAAGAACCAGCTCTCCCATAGCAAATAACCGTAGCTTTACCTTTTTGTTGTATCGGTTTGCCACAAGCTGCTTTGCCGCAACATTTTTGCAATAAGCAGTGACCCGAGCTTCATCTATCAAATCCAGCTCCACAGCTATTTTTTTACTATTTTCTTTTTTCGTTTTGTGATAAAGCTTGGACCTTTCGCCATGACGGTTCTCCTAACTCCACCGGGATCATGGCCTCGGTACCGTAGGTTAACCTGAACGGGCTTTCTCCGGTAGAAGTTTGCATCGTGGTTCTGTACCCCCATAGTACATACCATAGTTCTTCTACCCACTTCCCCTTGGCACATTGTTCCAATCTGTTGCGTAACCCGGCTATGATGACCTGATTCGCCGCCTCGGCTTGGCCGTTAGACTGAGGATGTTCTACAGACGCAAAATGATGCCGGATGTGAAGATTTGCCATTAATTCTTGGAAAGTTTCGCTTGTGAATCGGGTCCCGTTGTCGGTAACCACCTCGGCTGGAATCCCAAACCTGCAGATCAAGTTCTTCTCGAAGAAACGCTGCACCCTTGCCGTGGTAATTGTTGCCACTGGCTCTACTTCTATCCATTTAGTAAAGTAATCGACAGCCACTATTAACCATTTTAACTGTCCTTCAGCCGCTGCGAATGGACCCAAGAGGTCCATCCCCTATTTAAAGAACGACCATAGAGCTGTGATCAAACTTAACTCTTCTGGTGGTGCCAACAGGTTCTTACCGTGCTTCTGGCATTGATTGCACCTCTGCACATGTTCCTTCACGTCCTGACTCATGGATGGCCAGAAATAGCCTGCTCTGAGAGCTTTCCGGGCTAGTGCCCTGCCTCCAACGTACTGGCCATTGATTCCCTCATGAATTTCAGATAGGACATATTTCGCCCTATCCGAACTTAGACACTTTAGTAAGGGGGAATAGGCTCCTTTTTTGTAAAGTTTCCCTTCTACCATTGTGTATAATGTTGCATCCTTAACCAGCTTCCTAGCTTCCTCCTTTTCGGGGGTAGCGTCTCGTTTTCTATGTAGTCAATAATGGTACTACGCCAATCTTTGCCTTCGGTTATCTGCATGACACATGTAGGTTCTGGGATATTCTGCTCAACCACCGTCCTGTGGTTTCCCCAACCTTTAGTGCTTGCCAGCTGACAGTATATCAGCCCTGCTATTTTCATTTCATGGAATATGACTGACCTCTACTTTTTCAAAATTCGCTATTAACTGCCTTGCGGAATCCAAGTATTTTGCTAACAACAGTCCTTTAGCTTGGTAGCTTCCTGCAATCTGGGAGGTGACCAGTTGCGAATCACTATAGATTTGCAAACTCCTTGCTCCGAGCTCCTTGGCCTGCTGAAGCCTGGCTATGAATGCTTCATATTCTGCCTAGTTGTTTGATGTTTCAAAGTTCATCTGCATGGAGTATTCAACTGAAACCCCTTCTGGGTTCTTAATAATTACCCCGGCCCCGCTACCTTTGGAGTTTGAGGATCCATCCACGTAGATTTTCCAGGTGTCTGGGTTTGTTGAGCTCTCTTTTTGGATTGAAGTGAGCTCTCTGACAAAATCTGCCAATGCTTCAGATTTGATTGCTTTTCGGCTTTCGAAAACTACGTCAAATTCTGATAATTCCACAGCCCAGGCCATCATTCTTCCTGCTAAGCCAGGCTTATGCAAGATTTTCCGAATTGGCAAGTCTGACTTGACTACAATCCGGTGTCCTTGAAAATGTGCTCTAAGTCTTCTAGCCGAGATTAGTACGGCGAAAGCCACCTTTTCTAACTTCTGATAACGGAGCTCTGCTCCTTGCAAGAGCCGACTTACGAAGTAAATCAGTTGTTTCCCCTCTTCATTTTCTTAAACTAGGACCGAGCTAACAGCAACATCTCCCACAGAAAGATATATTATCAGTGGCTCCCCTTCTCTTGGACTAGATAAGACTGGTGGTGATGCCAGCTGCTTTTTTATTTCTTGGAATGCTGCCTCACACTCCGAGGTCCACCCATATTGCACCTCCTTTCGTAAAAGCTTGAAAAAAGGTAATTCCGTTTCCGCAGATCGAGGCAAAAACCTAGTGAGAGAAGCTAGGCTTTCAGTTAACTGTTGGATCTCTTTTTTGCTTGCTGGTGACTTCATTTCCAGCACGGCTCTACATTTGTCCGGGTAGCTTCGATGCCTCTGTGAGTCAACATAAATCCTAGAAACTTTCCTGCAAGGACTCCAAAAGCACATTTGGTCGGGTTTAACCGAATGCTATGTTGTCGTAGTTTTCTAAAGGTCTGCTCCAGATCCTCAATGTGCACTGCTGAGTTAATCGATTTGACTATCATGTCATCTATGTACACCTCCACATTTTTGCCGAGTTGATCTGCGAACACTTGGTTCATCATTCTTTGGTAGGTGGCCCCCGAGTTCTTCAATCCAAAGGGCATCACATTATAACAGTAATTTGTTTTTTCTGCGATGAAAGCAGTTTTCTCCTGATCTTCGGGGTGTAATAGGATTTGATTATACCCCGAATATGCATCCATGAAGGATAACATCTGGAACCCGGATGAGTTTTCAACGAGCTGATCTATATTGGGCATGGGGTATGCATCTTTAGGACATACTTTGTTCAGATCCGTGTAGTCCGTACACACCCTCCATTTCCCATTTGGCTTTTTGACCATCACCACGTTGGATAGCCAGGTTGTGTATTGTATCTCTCTGATGAACCCTGCCTCTAACAATTCCTTGACATGATCTTCCAATACTTATCATCATTCCGCGCTGAGCTTTCTTTTCTTCTGAGCTACTGGCTTAGATCCTGGGTACACTGCAAGTTTGTGACAATAAAAATGAGGGTCCACCCCAAGTATCTCTGAGGATTTCCAAGCAAAGACGTCCATGTTCCTCCTTAGGCACTCAGTGAGTCGAACTTTGTCTTCATTCGCCAGCCCCTTTCCGATCTTGGTTGCTTGGGTTTCCTCTCCAATGATTACCTCTTCCAGCTCTCCATCGGGTTCTGGTCTCGGGATCTGAGTGTCATCCCCCATGTCCAACTCTACCATATTAATCGGTGTCTTTCCCTTCTTCCTTGAACTATCTTGCTTACTACTGGGGTTTACCTCGGCCAGGGTTTTAAGGTCATGCCCCACTGCCCTAACTGACTTAAAATAGCAGTCCCGAGATTCCTTTTGATCCCCAGCAATGGTGATGACCGTGTTCTGCTTACCAATCATTTTGAGCTTCTGATGTTTGGTGGAAACGAGCATATCCCAATCGTGGATAGTTGGCTTCCCAGGATCACGTTATATTCCGAAGGGAAATCAGCTACTATGAATCTTATCCTTTCTGACTTGTAGGCCTCCTTTGTTCCCAAAGTAAGCCTCAGGTCGATGTAACCTTTACGGATAGTGTTACGGCCATTGAACGCGATCAAAGCCGTGTTGCAAGGTTTCAAATCCTCTTCATCCAGGTTCATTTTCTGGAATACCTGCCATATGATTATGTCGGCACAGCTGTCGTTATCTACAAACATTTTTTTGACTTTACAATTGACTAACGCTCCGGTGATAACTAACCCGTCAACGTGTCCCGGCATTACATCCTCCAATTCTTTTTTAGTGAAATACAGTAGTGGTGCCTCCAGTTCAATTTCTTTAAACTTAGGTCGCTCTCGTATTGAAAGCACCTCTCTTGAGTATTTCCTCCTGGCATTCATGGTATCACCTCCTCCACCAAAAGCTCCGCTAATTACATTGCATTTGAACTCAGGTTCTATGAACTCATCGTCTTCTCTGGCCGGCTTCTTACCTCGGCCTTCTTCTCTGAATCTCTTTTCCCGTGGCGAGCTCATAGGCCACACCCCATCTTCTCTTCTTCTTAGTCTTCCATCCTTGAGTTCTTATCAGATAGTGACGTAACTTTCCCTCTCTGATATACCTTTCAATTGCATCTCTGAGATCCCAGCATTCATCAGTGGTGTGACCAGGGCCATCATGAAATGCGCAGTACCGAGATTGGTCCAACCCGGTTGGATTCGGCAATGGCCGAGGCCTATCTACTCTCTTCATTTCGGTGGATGCTACCTCCCTCCAGATTTGTGATCTGGATGAGTTCAGAGGCGCATATCTGTCAAATCTCCCCTTTGTTGAAATCTTCTCTTCTGGCCGTTTACCCCGGAAATCATTTTGCTTCCGGTTTCCAAGTTTTTCTTTTTGGCCTTGGTATTGCCTTGGCTCCGCATTTTCAACCTCCATTTGTTCCGGGTCCAAGTATTTCTTAAACTGTGTAGTGAACTCGACTAAAGTCCGGACTGGGTCTTTGTACACTGATTTAGCCAATCTAGAAGAGCCATGTAGCCCAGCAATTACCAAATGCAAATGGACATTCTCAGATAACCCGGGCACCAGTAAGGCGGCCATTTTAAAACGGTCTAGGTATTTCTTCCGAGATTCCCCAGGTTGCTGTCTTATCTTTCCCAACACAAACTCTGACTTGGGCTGCTTTTTGCTCGTAGCAAAATTCAGCAGGAATCTCCCTCCAAATTCTTCAAAAGATCTAATAGACCCCGAAGGTAGAGATGAAAATCATGCTTGAGCTGCTCCAGTCAATATAGTTGCGAACAACCAGGTTATCAGAGGTTCCTCTATTCCCTTAATATACATTGTTGTATCAAAGGTATCCAAATGGACCTGGGGATCTTGCGTCCCGTCACACTTAGGAATCTCTGATAAGTTTAGGTTCTCTGGAAAGGGTGCGTCCACGATTTCGTCCACAAAGGGGCTGTCATCGTATTGCCCCCAGTGATATTTCCTCCTATAGACACCGGCCACATCATCTGGGTTTCTGAATGAGCGCCTCCCATCCAGACGTTCGGGGTCCTCTCTCTGTCTTTCCGTTTCTCTCTCTCCATCTCGGCCTTCTTCCTGTTGGGTCCTTGGTGAAAGTAAAATGGCCTTGAAGGCCGAAGCATGTGAGAGGGGGAAAAAAAATTTCAAGCAGAACTACACATGCATTCAAGACTCATGCTTTAAGACAGCATGATGTTACCTTTGTTTGTGATTCAAACAGCAAGGAGATCACTGTCAGGTTTGAAGGGTTCAAACCCTCTAACGTTGATCCACACCACCCACGTCAAGATGCAAGAACACTTTCTTGAAAGCCACCAATTGACCACCACACCAAGCTTGCTAGGCGTCCAATGTGTGAGGGAGGAGGCTAGGTAAAGGTGTTTAGAAGAGTGAAGTCTTCAACATGAAGACTTCACAAGAGTGGGGCATGGATTGGAGTAGAATTGACTAGGTGTTTTGATGAAAACCCTAATGAGAACCTACCCAAGTTAGCGCACAATAGAGTGAGGGAATGAGAGAATTAATTCAGATTTTTCACTTCAAAAATCACATTCAAAGTGGCGCACAACAAGAGGAGATAAAGGTGGAGTTGTTGCAATTCAAAATGCCCAACAACCTCCCTTTTAAATCCTCATGAGACTAGGTCTTTATCTAGTCAAGATTCTGACCTAATGGTCATCATATGACCATCCTATCTATGCACACCATTCAGCCCCAAAAGGGGTCCAGATACGTTGAGTAGTTGCATTCAAGTTTGAACCAACTAGCTCACTGATTCTTTCAACAACCAAATTTGATTGGAGCTTGTTTGATTGACAAGATGACACTCATATCCAACCAAAAATGGTGCCCCATTCAGCCTTGGATGATCTCCAAAGATATCCTCTTGATACAAGGGATTTGTTCCAACAAGATCTCATCTTATCCTTTTGTTATGAAACAACTTTTCACAGCCAATTCAAATTCGAATTCAAACATTTAAATTCAAACGTTCAAACATTTAAATTCTAAATTCAAATTCAAAATTCAAATTCAAAATTTAAATTTCAAATTTCAAATTTCAAATTTCAAATTCAAAATTCGAATTTCAAAATTCAAATTCAAATTTCAAATTTCAAATTTCAAATTTCAAATTTCAAACTCAAAATTCAAAATTTAAATATTTGATAATTAGTTTAACCAATTAAATTAATTAGTAATGTCTTGGACCATCCAAGCCCATTACATGATCCATGTGCCCTTTTCCCTTTAGGTGGGCTTCCAAACTTCTTCTTGGGCTAACAACCATTATTAGGCCTAATACCTTTAATGCTAGATCATCATGACAATAAGGTGTTAGTGTGTGACCCATTAGGTCCAACATGGCCACTGACATAAATGGGCTCGGGCCCAACAAGCCCACAACTCATTTAATGACAACACAGAGCACTAGCAATGCTTTGTTGCCCCAGAGCTAGTTAGATTAATGACTTGATCATCCTATTACACATATTTGGTTGCCATATATATTTCCTTTCGTCTCGGTTACCTTCCCATTAAACCTAGGGTAAGGAAACGTATCAACCCTTGCGGTTTAGGGTAAGCTTTATTCGAAATAGGGAATCTTCAATTTACTGACTCTAAAGGCATATCATCTCATGATCTCTTTTAGTATGCATAGATTCCCGAGTCCCTGTAAATGTCATCCCGATTTCTCCGGTTTATAGATAACTTAATCTCTCACAGAGATTTGACGAATTCCTTCAGCTTATCACCCTAGCCCTGTGCTCTTTCAGCACAAGCCTAACAGTGTACCTATGAGTCTCCATGTTTCAGGCAGACGAGGTATACAATCAAAGCATGCCTTCTAGAACACAGTCTAGGTAATATCATCTGGTCTAAGGAAAGACATACCCAAATATAAAGAGACTACTCCAATGACACTATCTGTGAGATTTCCCCATAGAGTCTCTTTGTGGGTCTGCTCAGTGCGAGCTATAACCTTGTAAGTCCACCCACGACTTTAGCTAAGACATCTTCATATCTGTAGCACATGAGGTCTTTTACCTTGTATCCGTATACAAGTAGATAAGTCGTGCTAGTCTTACCCGAGATCACTGATCCCCATTCTCAGTGTCTCTAGACTAGGAATATAAAATTAGGAATAAACATTCAGTATCATTGAATCCTCATGATCGTGATCTCATCACAGATACTCAAGAGATACCTATTTTATTCCAAGGGGTTTATCCAGTTACTCATATAAAATATTAACAATAATATTGAGATAATATGAAACAGGATAAATTGTGCTTTTATTTATTTGCGAAAATATAAAAGGTCCACATATGTCCTAATCTAATCAAAAGATTGTCTCTAGGACATCCATATACTAACAAGCTCCCACTTGGCCTAGAGCCAATCTGACCTAAGTCGTATACCTAAAGCCTCACAATGACTATCATGTTTTCTCTGAGAAACAGCCTTTGTCAGAGAATCGGCTATGTTATCATATGTGGGAACATAATCCATCTTTACATCCATCTTATCAATGATTACTCTAATCAGGTGATATCTGCGGAGCACGTGTTTAGATCTTTGATGAGACCTAGGTTCCTTTGATTGCGCAATGGCTCCAGTGTTTTCGCAAAGCTACTGTATGGGCTCATCTACACTTAGAACCACCTTTAGTTCAGATATGAACTTCTTGATCCAGACGGCCTCCTTAGCCGCTTCAGAAGCAGCTATGTATTCAGCTTCTGTCGTTGAATCTGCTGTTGTCTCCTGCTTAGAACTCTTCTAAGATACTGCCCCACCATTTAAGGTGAATACGAACCCTGACTGTGACTTACAGTCATCTTTCCACTCTGAAAGCTGGCATCAGTGAACCCTTTCACTGAAAACTCATCAACCCCACCATAGACCAGAAACGCATCCTTAGTTCTTCTTAAGTACTTAAGGATGGTCTTGACTGCTATCCAGTGACCCTCTCCAGGGTCAGACTGGTATCTGTTCGTAATGCTCAAAGCATACGAGACATCTGGTCTTGTACATATCATGGCATACATGATGGATCCAATAGCCGAAGCGTATGAAATTCCACTCATGCGATCCTTCTTAGGCTGTGACTTAGGACACATAGCCTTTGAAAGATGTACCCCATGACTGACGGGAAAAAAACCCATTTTCGACCCTTCCATGCTAAACCTCTTTAGCATCTTGTCAACATACGTGGATTGAGATAAACCCAGCAGCCTCTTGGATCTATCTCTATAGATCTTTATACCAAGTATAAAGGCTGCTTCTCCCAAATCCTTCATGGTGAAGCCTTTTGAAAGCCACTCTTTCGTTATTTGTAATGTGGGGATGTCATTTCCTATTAGCAATATGTCATCTACATAAAGTACCAG